GATAGATAGATAGATAGATAGATAGATAGATAGATAGATAGAAAATGAGTCCTAGTCTGGATCAAAACACCACAAAAAACTCTATCACGAAGCACACACTTCCTCCGTACAACAATCTGTACAATCCGAAGTATTCAATTCTACCATCCCGATGACACGACATTGAAGACAAACATGGCATGCAACGTACCCAGGTGAATCCAATACATCCCAGACCATTGGCCAGGATATCAGCACACATAGATGGTCCGGAAGTACCCGAGGGGAAGTAGGCATGAAAGCGCGGATGCTGCCAGTGGGTCATCTGCGGGAAGAAAAGAATGGAATGGATCATGTACTAAACAGAATACAGATAGGTATGCTGTGCCTGATTTTGCAAGAATTATCATAGTGCAACAACTTCATTCGCAGAGTATCTATTCGTAAAATAAACCCCTCCCGATAACGAACTGTGGCACTGATGTTGGGTTTCTAATATTAAATCGGATGATGTTGTCTTCTTTATTTTTTCCAAATTGGGATAACTCAAGCCTACAACGTTTGTGAATTGGGATTGCGTAACTCAGCACACATCAGCACATGTCACATTCAGCCTGGGTGGGGAGAAGGAGTAACGCATTGGTTATTGTTTTTTTTCTTTCACGTGGCGATTCACACGAACGTTTTTGGTCTCAGTGAACAATGAACCACAAAATCTTACCCCAGGCATCACGACACGTTCCACATCACTGATGATATCCTCCCACGATTCCGGATATTCCGGCGCCTCTTTTGGGATCATCGGAGCCAAATAGCCCGGTGAGATTTGAGGGAACACGTTGCGTTGACCAATATGCTCTAAGTAGTTGGCCACATATTGGACCATTTCGGAACCTCGTTGACGAAATTCAGCCACATTGATCGATGCCATTAGTTCCACTGTTTGGCCATTTATGATCCCATTGCACTTCGAATCTGCTGTGTGGTACGTGGTGGTAGCAGATAGGAAACGGTCAGTACGAACCAGGGTATCAGGGATTACTGAACCAGAATGGAATAGGTAATCATCAACTTGTGGAAAGATGAGCTACCGCAATGTAACTCAAACTATAATCTCTTCGATCTTGATTTCAACATCAAAGGAAATATCAGCCATTTGCAAAGTTGCAACACATCACTGGGTTAATTGTGCTGGGAGTGTGTTTGAAACCTCTCTGTTTCGTCGTCGAGCATGAAAATGAGTCAAACAGTATAGTCAATGGGAATCCTTGTAGACTGTTTTGCTTTAGGCCTTTTTGTGTCTCGTTCAGACTTTAGTTAATTATAATTTCCCTTATTTGTTCCAGACGTGGCATAGGGTGGATGTCCGACAGTTAAGGAATGGTGCCCAATGGAATACATTTTCGTAGTGTGTAAAGCAAACAAAATGTGGAACAGCTGTTTCGTTCTGGCTACATATCGTCCGTTCCATCGGTTCTATTAATCTAACTGAGAATCAAACGGGGCATCTCTCGCTTGGAGATTTTTCATTTACTCTATCCACACACAATATCGCACAGTTCAACTTTGCTAGCCTGTTTCAGGCGTATTACACCCCGCTCAACTACTCTCATGCACATGTAGAATGGTGTACGTTGGACGACTGACTTGACTCCTCCCGTGTGTGGATGCTGGCGATTATTCTAGTGGAACTCAGCGTATCCACTATCGAACTCGATTGTTGTACAGTTTTTGGCAAACAATTAATTACGTTCACACAAAGATTTCGCGAAACCAGATAATCCTAAGGCCAGTCGATTTCCCCATTTGTTTTTATGAAATGACGAAATCTGGGTTCACGGGAGGATAAGTGACTCCTGAATTCTTAGAGGAGTACAAACAAAATGAAATCCGTGGACGAAATTAAGCATATATATACTTGGGAGGGGAAAAATGGAAGTCTATTCAATGAAATATTATAGAGTATTTTAATGGCCATATAGGTTGACAAGTAACAGGGATTGAATTGAATTGATCAGTGGAATATTTTCTGCACGGGTGGGAAGATATACGAGCTGAGAAAAATGGTCCTGGATGCCAAATAGCTTTATTTGTTGCACAAAATATAAGCATTTCATTTTCTCTCAGTATTGTCCTTTAGCGTTTATGCACGCACACTTCCGTGAGCTGAAACTATTTGTTGAAGCGGCTTAATCAGATCGAAGTGGGTAACCCCTTGACCAGTTCCATGAAGGCCATCACTGCAGTTGTTGGTAACTCTTATCGGATTCCAAGCATCAGGCGCTTGATGATGAGGAGCATAAAATAGTCACACGGAGGTAGGTCTGAACCGAAGGGTGGGTGACAAACCTCCTGCATTCATTCTGTTACCAGCAAATTGCCGTCAAAATAGGACTTATGTGCAGGTGCGTAGTCATCGTTTAGCAAGGTACTTTGTTCTCGAGTCCTTAGACGATACCTGGCAACAGCTTTCAACACTTTCGTCAAACAGTGAGTGAAGTGCCAGTCACCGATGTCTACTCTGCAGTTCGAGCGATACAGTAACCACATGACCGGTTTTGGCCATCAACACAGCCACCATTTGCTTTGCCACACTGTACTGGAGTCGGAACAGCTTATTCGATGCTCCACCAACCGACAACCACTGTACGGATTTTCGCTTGTTCCCTGGCTCGAAACTGCACACTCAGGTCTCATCACTAATGATGATATACCGAACTGCATCGGGGTGTCCATCATGAAACCTGGCAAGCGAACTTATTTAGTGTCAATAGTAGTGTTCCCGTTGAGATCGTCTGCTTGAAACTACCGACAAACGAGGTCAAATAAAAGTTTGTTTTGCCCTTCGGGATTCGGATTAAATACGCCGATGCCTAACATTGTGATGTCCTCCGTCGGATTCAACCGGCGAACGTTCGGGGTCGAGTCCGAAACCCACACAGGCTGAGCAATCCAGTCCACGATTAAAATCTTATCGTATCTAATATTTTAGCACGTTTTTTGGGCAGATACAAATCGATAAGAAGAGGGATGTACTTTGTTATCTTGCTATTCTGTTCGTACATTATTGTTTTCTTGTTATACCTGTGATTGCAGTAATATCAGTAGTATTTACGGTAATTATGGTGATGGAACTCCATGAGTGAATAGAAGAAGCTATACAAATGCTAAGCCAGTGATATACCGTGTTTTGTAGATATCTACGTTGATGAGAATATTTGTTATTGTTCACCTCAACGTAGAAGTCACTTTGAAAGTAGATATTCGTGATGTGATTGGGTTTTTTATATCGAAGTAAAGTGTCAGGTAGACCATTTCATTCAAAGATTGATTGCACGTGAAGAACCGATTTGCAGTGACTAGCACTTACGCCACTCAAACTTTGTGTTACTCCGACGAAAAAATGCTTTAGCACGTGTTGATAGAATTCCTGTAACATGGTTCACATTTCGGATAATTATTTCAGTTACCAATATCATACGTAATTGCCGAATGCTGCGAAACCACTGCACTGTTTCGCTTTCTAGTCCCATGAATGTTACCCGTGGGGTTCCACAAGGATCTGTGCTTGGTCTGCGACCTAGCGAAGGCACTTGGGCCAAAATCATTACTTTCTGCAGATGACGTCAAAATTTGGAATACAGTAACATAACCAGCGGGCTTGCTGGCACTCCAGGAAATGTTAAAAGCAGCTCACCTGTGGTCCATTATGAAGGATATTGAATTCAATGTGCCAAAGTTTAAGGTTCTAGCTCTACGACACAGGGGGAGATTTTCGTATTTCCTCGAAAATGAACCACTGCCACACGCCAAAAGAGAGATGTACCTGAGCATCGTAATTCAAGAAAACTTAAGTTGTTAACTCAACTGCACCAAAGTGTTCAATGCAGCTGTAAAGAATGTGGATTTGCTTAAGCGGGTCTTTGGCCGGTTTGAGTCAGCGCTTTCCCCCATCTACCATCAGCAAAAAATTCGACCACTCGCAGAGTACGCCATTCAGGTATCGAATCCGTGGCTACAATGTGATTGCAAAATGCTGGAGCGTCCACAAAGGATGGCCACCAAAATGGTCAGGAGGTTGAATCAGTGTTCATACACAAAGAGATTGAAGTCAATGGGTTATATTCCTATCACTACCGGTGCATCAGAGGAGATATGATTATGGTATACCAAATAATGCAAAACCCAAGCCATCCATGTCACCCGCTGCTGACATTATCATTCAACGTTCATCTTAGAGGACATCCATTCAAACTAATGGTCTCAAAATGCCGCTTGGAATGCCGGGGTCAGTCATTGGCAGTCAGAGTGTGTTCGGTCTGGAACTCTCTCTCTCATCCTACGTCGTCTGTTCTCCAAACATTGAATCTTTTAAACTGAGACTTGATGAAACATTAGCACACCTTGCATTCCAACATAAGCGAAGATGCGTGCAGCAGTGGAAGAAGCACCTATCACGTGACCTTTTACACGAAGAATCACTGTTTTTTAACCACCACACAAACCTAATGGGACGAGAAAAGCATGAGATTGTAAGTTATTTCTATAATAAATCTTCGAATCTTTGAATGTATATCGATAGCTATGGATAAGGCGTATTTATTCCGTACTTTATCTCTCACTTCGATTTCCGTAGTTCTCTTTCATCACAGTTTGAATTGGCTTGATCTAAATTGTCGCGATACCTGTTTGTAATAGTTCCGTAGTTAGTTACCGCTCAGAAATTGGAAGAAAAAGTAATTCATACAAACTAGCACACAAGTGAATTTTCTCAATTAAAAGAATGTTATTTTATAAGGTTGCTTATTCTGATTAGTGTGCGGTGAACCAGTCGATTAATGAAAACATTTTCTAGCTTGAATAACTTGAAAACGTTTGTGGCTATAAACTGCTTCTGCACTCCGGGCAGTCACATGTTGCTCGAGGTTTAGACCTCATCATATCTATATGTCTATATATGCATATTTCATCATAAGTAGTAAGTGAATGACTGGATAAAATTTCCCTGGAACCACATGACCGGTTTCGCGGCACTTGTCGCTCGTCAGGCATGCGTATCCGGTAATCTTCTGTCAGTTCATTTATATACTTGTACCCAGGAAGTGTATTTTCGTCACAGTAACCTTGTTTGCAACGCCGGGTGACGTTTGGATAGACAGCTCCTTCAGAGTCAGTCCATTGTCCAATGTTTTTGTAAGTGAGTTAGATGCTACGATGTATTGTTTATTTTTTCGAATATATGCAGTTTCTGCTGGGGTCAGGTCGGATGTCCAGTCCATCCAATTACCGCCTAGCAATTGGGATTGAAATGTATTCCAACAAATTCTCCCACTGTTAGAAAAAGGGTTAAGTTAGTTGCCTCAACAGCGGTCGTCAGTGGGTAGGGTGTAGCATGTATTTGAGGAAACTGACAAATTCCGTCTGGCAAACAATTTGGTAGACTCCATCCAAAAGCACCTGTTTCCAGTGCTCAAAAATGAAACGGATCTCACTGAGACACTTGGGCGTTGTTCTCATGATTGTTGAGTTAGTTAGCTTGTCTTAGCCACGACGAACGTGTTTTGTTTTTTCGTTCATCGTGGCTTAGACAAGCTAGTTTCCTCAAGCACAATATCTATATTAAGTCTGAGGGTCCTTTTGATAAATAAATTCCAGTTATGCTTTTTTACCGTGGCTTTGTTATTTTACAACTGATGCATCAGGACACGTTGTCAAAATAGACAAATCGTACATTTTAATGACATTCCACTGAAAGAAGCAAATAAATAAGTTGATATTATATCAGATATGTTGCGTCTGGTCTGAGACAGTATCATATTAAATCGCTTGCATAGGGGCTCGAAACACGAAGCATTGAGAGAAACAAATGTGATGTAAGGGTGCAAGGGTGTTGCACGAGTTCGAACAATACCTGTACATCTTTTCAACTCA